TATTGTTCAGTAATTTTCAGTTATGTCCAACTCTTTGTGACCCTATTTGGGGTTTTCTTAGCAAAGATACTGGATGGAGTGGTTTGCCACTTCCTTCTCCAGCTCATTTTATAGATGAGGAAACTGAGGCAAATGAGGTCAAGATATTTGCCCAGGGTCACACATCTAGTAAATGTCTGAGGCCAGATTTGAACTCAGGAAGATGAATCTGACTCCAGGTCCAGCACTCTATCCCACTGCACACTTAGTTGCCTCTGTAATTGGCTGCAACATAGACTATATGGAGGAAAGTAACATGAAATGAGACTAGAAAAGTAGAAACCCAGTGTAATTTGTTAAGTAAAGGAGTAATATGACCAGTCAGTCAGTTAAGTATTTATTAAGGCTAAAAACTGCCAAGCATTCAAACTATCCTTCAGAGTATATGGGCTGGCCATGTTTGAATGCAAAACATACGCTCACCTACAAGACTATTTTATGAAGAACTCACCCAGGGCAAGTGTTCACATGGTGGTCAGAAGAGGCAATACAAGGATGGATATATACATACATACATACATATATATATATATATATATATATATATATATATATATACAAGATGTATGCAAAACAAATACAAAGTAATCTGAGGGGTTATTAGCAGCTGAGTGAGATCAGAAAAGTTCTCCTCTAGGAGGTATACTTGAGCTAAGTTTTGAAAGGAGATTTCTAAGAGGCAGAAATGAGGAAGGCATGCATTCCAGGAATGAAGGGCATAGCCAGCAATGGCAGGAGACCAGAAATGGAGTGTCATATGTGAGGAACTGGAACACGAAGTATGAAGAGAAGTAATATATAATCAGCCTGGAAAGGTAGGCAGGGGTATGAAGGATTTTACATGTGTGACATATAAAAAGTTTAAGAGACATAGTTTCTGGGTAATTAATCATTTTATTAATCATGCTAGCATATAATTTATAAAAGAGTCAGTGGCACTCTTGAATGCCAAAGACCCCTCATGTAATCCACTCAACCCTTGGAAGAGTGGGTGTTCCTGAGAGTGGTCATCAACTGATTGGTTAACAAGTAATAGAAGAATGAATATTATAATGAGTGGTGGCCTTCTAATGAGGGCCTGGGGGATGTGACTTCGATCACTTAGTCTTGGTCAAAGAGACTTATCTATAACCATATCACCCTACCTAGGGTAATCTAGACAAAAGGGGGAATCCACTTTTACCCAGGCCTGTCTGAGTAAAATACAATGTCCAGGAATCCATCAACTCACCTAAACTAAAATTTCCTTACCTTTTGAACAAATCTGAGTTTTCTCTCTCGTTATCAGCTCTGTACTTCAAAGGCTGCTTGAATAACCTACAGGGGCTGGTTTCTGAATGAGGAAGTAGAAAAGGGGGAAAACTTTGGTATTAATTCAATAATTTGTTATTACTATAAGATAAAAATAATAATTTCTCTAACATGACACATAAACATAAAAGAGTTTGTTTTTGATCATCAAAGAACTAGGGAATGACTGAAGCATTTTTGAGAAGTGTGACATACTCAGATCTGTACTTTAGGAATATCACTTTGGAAGATGTATGGAGGATGAACTAGAGACTTTAGGCAGGGAGTCCAATTTGAAGGCTATTGCAATAGTCCTGGGACACAGGATGAGGACCTTGGGATAGTGGTTGTGAGTGGTATGAAGGGGATGGTTACAAAAAAATGTTATTGAGGTAGAGTGGGACAAAACTTGGTAAATGATTGTATACTGGAGGGATGGTGTTGACAAAGAGTGAAGAGTGGAATATGATCTGAAGAAGTATATAATACAGTAAGGCTTTCCTTTAATTCTTCACACAACCACAGTTAGGCTTTTTTTTTTAAGCTCTCCCCTCTACTTTCCATTCTCACTTGCCAGAAGCTGAACAGGTGCAGATACCTATACACATGAAAATGTTAAAAAGGACCTTTCCCAGTAAATAATTTATAGGACTCAGGAGCCACCTGGTGGCTTTAGCAGAACTAGCAGCTCCCAAAATAAATAATTTCTGAATGAAAAAGGACAGGGAAGGAAATGGTATCCCCTAAAATCTTTCTCTCAGCTCTCTTATTCCTTATAATCATGAATCATCAAGGGGCTACTTTATAGTAAACCATTCAAGAATTTAAAAGACATGCAAAAAAGAGCTAGAATCCCCAAGACCTCATACTAGGTTTCCGTTGGAGGAAACAAATTGTCCACCAGACACATGACGTCCCTAGCCTAGAGTTTAGTCTCACAGATAATACGTACTGTTCTAAGTCAGAAGATCAGAGTTGATTGGCAGAAAAGAAACAGGGGGTATGGAAAATATGAAGAAGAAATCCCTTTTAAACTCTTTGTGTGAGCTTTTTTGGTGAGGGAAATATCTGAAGTTTCAGATTGAGTTGGAGGAAGGTCTGGACCCCTTCTCAATAATCACCCAGGAGTCAGTATTTCCCTAGAGGTCTCTGCTATGATTATATGCTTCATTCCACTTTTCCCTTACACTAACTCATGTTGAGAATGCAATTTGCCTATTATCCTAATTTTTGTATTCCTTACATCTTGTTTCATCCCTAACTTTCCTAGATGCTTTTTTGTAGATTTCTCCTATGGGAAAAGAAACCAATCCATTGCTTTAGGTCCCCTTTAGGTCCCTAGATGGGAGTTGGAGGGGGAATCATGATCTAAAAACATATTAAGTTCATCTGCATGTAGAATCTACATTCAGGTATAGGGATAAAAGAAATTGAGATCTTTTCTCTGAAGAGAAATGGCCCCAGTATAACAGTGGTTCTCAAAGTGTGGTCCAGGGATTCCTAGGGGCCCTGAGACCCTTTCAGGAGGTCCATGAGGTCAAAACCAGTTTCATAATAATATGGTATGGTATCAATATGGTAATATGGTAAGTATCAATAGATGTGTCCCACATAAACAAAAGCTTTTGGCCACGGGGTTAGGGTGGGAGTGAGGGGGGGGCCTTTAAGAATGAGATCCTGGGACCCAACAGTTTCAGAACAGTTGATATGAAAGACCTCAAGTCGACTTTGAATATCAGAAAATGTAGAATACTTGCTATATGACAAGGCATTGTGCTAGGCAGTACAGAAGATAGACAGAAACACACAATGTTCCAAAAGTCTGGTGCAGTTTTAAGATATTACAGCTTAACAAGGTTCATCATTTAAGCTTTAATAGTATAAAACTGTACCAAGATTTTGGGGACACCTTATATAATAAAGCACATTATCTCCCTAGGCCTGTTTCCATGGCATGTTAAATAAGGGAGCTGGTCTAGATGATTTCAAAATCCCCTTCCAACTCAGATGTGATTCTAAATAACTTACAATATATCTACAGAGCAAAAACATAAACAAGAACAAATCACAACTTAGGATAGTAAATGAGTTGTGGCAAATGAATAGCATAGGCAGTAAGTTCTACATGTTAAAGGAGGGAAAGATCACTTTGAACTGGGATACTCAAGGAAAGATTCTCAGATGTTAGATATGCAGAAGGAAGGGAGGAAAGAAGGGAGGGAGGGAAGAAGAAGAAAACATGAATTTAAGTTCCTACTATGTACCAGGCACTGTCTGCTTTTCAAATATTCTCTCATTTAATCCTTACAACTTTGAGAGGTAGGTGTTATTATTCTCATTTTACAGTTGAGGAAACTGATGTTACCCAGGGTCACACAGCTAGTGTATTGAATCCAAATTTGAACTCAGGATTTCCTGACCCCAAGCCAGTATTCTCTCTGTTGTACCACCTACCTGCCTCTGTAAAGTGATAATATTATTTTTAAGGCCCTTTCCAATTCTAGATCATACATATGATGCCTTTATCCTTGCCAATCCCCCATTTTATTACAGTTATATAGCTCAGGAGCAGGTTGTTCCACAGGCCTATCAAGAACTTTATTCACTTCATGCCTCTATTATTTATACTCCTACTTCAGTAACTGTTCATGCCTCTAGGAAACTGGAGATAGGCTCAGAAAATTTACTGATATTTGCTTCTTTAAGCTTCAGACTTAAGAGGCCTCAATATTCTCTTAAAGATCTCAGGAGGTTTGGGAGCACGGTTATATACACACCTGTTTCATTAAAGAATCTCTCACCTCAACTTCAACAGCAAAGCACTAGTAACACTCAGCCTTTTCTAGAGAAAGTAACAAGATGTATCCTTGAAAATATATCTTCATCAATAATGATGCCATGATGCAATTTAAAAAACTGAAACTTTTTTAAATCCACAGAAGTTGATGGAAGATCAATTTTGGTAGTACAATTTTGAAAGTAATATGTAGAATTTATTACATACTTTTGAAAAAAATCAAGCCATGTGAAATGAATATTCATGGTTTCACATAGAATCCTCTTTTTGTGTTATGCTGTGTGGAAATTCTCTTTATGTTCAGAAAAAATAAAATTTTTGGCTAAATGTATTTCTTCATCAGAAAGAAACTATCCTTGCCTGTCTCATCAAGCCTCCATCACCATAGCACTGGGTCACCCATTCTCCTAAAATAATCGATAAACCATTAAGTATTTATTAACTGTCTGTGTGCAGAGTTATATAATAGCTAGAATTTATACAGGGTTTTACAAGTATTATCTCATTTGATCCTCACAAACCACCCTAGGTGGTGAGTGCTACATTTTACAGATGAGAAAACTGAGGCAGACAAGAAGGGTACTTGAAAGTTAACAAAAGGCAAAGTAATTTTATCCACAACCCCGTGGGGTAGATCGTACTGTTTGCCCCCATTTTCAGATAAGGAAAGTTTCTGTTTAGGTTGAAGAATATGTTAACTGGAAGGAGCATTAGAAATCATCTAATTCAAACGTCTCATTTCACAGACAAGGAAGGGAGGATTCTTCTTCAGCTCTAATTCCAGTTCTCTTTCCCCTACGCTGCTGCTTCACATCACAAGGCCCCACAAATTGCCAGGGACCACATACAATCCTAACTAATTTGCTGGAGATAGATGTGGGGGAAGGAGGAGGGTCACACCAGACCCAGGCGTCTCCCAGCGAGCCAACGCCCCCTTGTGGTTGGAAGCCTAGCTCCAGTCAGTCCCTGCTCAGGAAGCGGGACCAGATTGAGGGGTGCGGCGCGCGTTTAAATTAGCAAAGCCAAGGGATCTATCCCGGGGCTTTGGCCTCATCGATCGCTGCCTTCGTTAATCTACTGCGACCAGCTACAGGACACCAACGAGCCCTTCCGGAGACAAGAGGCCAGGGAAGACAGAAGCGCATTAAGGTGCCGCCGGCCCTGCTGTCTCCGACCCGGGGCCTGGCCCAACTACTTCCTAAGAAAGTGGGGATGGATGGACGCCGCATCCCGAGCCAGGCCCACTCAAAGGTCCGGACGACTATGACCGCCACTGCAGCGAACAGCCGAAAGCAAAAACGGGTCCACTTAATGCGACCGACAAATTGCCAGGATTTCCGCCAACGCGCGCCGGAAGCGCTCCTCAGGAAGCTTCCGTTTGTGCCTGCCTTCCAGCGATAGGCGGACGTCCCGCGGTTACGTCATCGCGCACGTGTAGGCGCTCGCCTAGCCCCGCCCCCAACTCCAGTGTTGGAGTAAATCCTCCACCTCCCTCTAGGTTGGTGGTCTCAAGTCATCCCCTTCCAATCTGTCTTCTCTAAATAGGAACTGTGGCTGTGTGGGCAGCGCCCCCAGCCGGAAGGAGGTTGAAACTGAGCAGAGATTGTTAGGATTTGAGTATTGGGAAGAAAGGTACCAGGTCATTAATTTCTTCCAATCTTCTGATAATACGCTAACCATAAAACACTGTACATATGTAAACTATTTATGATAATGGTGTAACAGTAGAAATTGAGCTAGATTTGGAGTCTGAGGACCTGGGCTCAAATCCTGGCTTCATCATTTACTATTTGTGCAACCTTGTACAAATCATTTAATCTCTTTGAGCTTTGATTTTCTTCTCAACTATATGGCACAGTGGACAGAATGCCAGTATGTAGTCAGGAAGACCCAAGTTCAAATGTGACCTCAGACACTTGCTGTATGACCCTGGGCAAGTCACTTAACCCTGTTTGCTTCAGTTTCCTCTTCTATAAAATGAGCTGGAGAAGGAAATGGCAAACCACTCCAGTATCCTTGCCAAGAAATGACCCCAAATGGGGTCACAAAGAGTCAGTCACTACTGAAACGGCTCAACAACAAAATTCTTCCACCTGTGAAATGAGGTGGTTGGAAGAGTTAACTTCTTATCCCTGATAGTGGTAATGCTATGATCCTATGATGATGACTTATATGGGTACATGTTGTTTACCCCAAAAAGCTCCTTGAGGGCAGGAACCATTTCATTTTTATGTTTATGTTTCTGGGACCTAGCATGGTACCTGAAACAGTAAGTACTTAATAAATTAAATGCTTTTGAATTTTTTGATTGATAATTCATGATCATCAATGATAATGATGGAGGTTCTGCTACCTCCTTTGAGAGAGAACTAGAATGAATTAGGAAATCCAGGGAAAATGTCAGAGCATTAAGAAATAACAGGAAAAGCCTAGATTTAGGAAAAGAAAATCACTGAAAATACACTTTCAGGCCACTAGGTCCAAACCGTCCCAACCCAGAGAGAATCCTTCCCTTTTCCAACTTCTTTTTGTACTGTCCTGCCCCATTAAACTATAAGCTCCCTAAGGTCCGGGACTTGTATTTGTATCCCCAAGACTTAGCACAGTGACTGGAACATACTTAGCACTTAATAAATGCTGTATTTACATCTGCTTCCAGGACAGTCATGACTTCCTCTTTATTCTCTTTTCTCTCTCTGCTTCTAGAGAGAAAAAAGCACATCCTGGAGATCTAAGCACCTATAAAAAGGCAAGCAGGGTCTTTGCCTGAAAAAGTATGCAGACAGTTAAATACCTATCCTTCTAAGGAAAAGATCAAAAGCTAAATAAAAGGAAACTGTGCAAAAGCCTCTTGAACAAATACCAAAAAGCTTTACAAGCCATGAAATTCAGAAAAGAGCCTTGTATGAATACAAATCTCACCAGGAGATTTACCTTGAGTATTTTACTTAGTACTAGGAGTTAGAAGGAAGTTGAGATTGAGCAAAGATTAAGAGTTGAGGATTAGGAAAACAGGTACTAGGTCATTAATTTCCTCCCATCTTCCAGAATCTCAGAGTTCTGAACCCCCAAAGCCATCTAGTTTAACCAGTATCTAAAGAGGAATTTCTTTTACATTTGCAACCAGTGCCCTTCTAAGTTGTTTCTGGAAGACCTCCAGAGAGAGATATCCCATTCTACTTTCACATAGCTCTCTAATGGCTAAGAACAGTTTTCTTTACATCAAGCCTATATTTATTTCTTTTCAGCTTCCACTTATTGCTCCAAGCTCTGCCCCGTGGGCCAAGCAAAACAGATCTAATCTCTCTTCCATGTGACAACCCTCCAAGTACTTGAACAGTTATACTGTTATATATACAGTATATATATATATATATAATATATATTATATATATATGTACAGTAATACTGTACCTCCTAAATTTCCCCTTCGCCAGACTAAATAGGCCCTGTTCCTTCAACTTGTCTTTGTATGATAAGAATTGAAGTCCCTTCTCCATTCTGGTTGCCTTCCTCTGAACGTTAGCCAAGTCATTGATAACAAATGCTAAATAACACCCTAGAACACTCAACTGGAGAGCTCCTTTCACTTTGCTAAAATCTAGGAAAATTATATCTACAGCATTCCTCTTATGGACCAGGTTAGTAACGCTGGAGGGAAAAATAGAAGTATTATTACTTTGGCATGACCTATTCTTGATGAAATTATCTTGGCTCTTTGTGATCACCTCTTCCTTTTCTTGATGTTTTAATATTAAATTTTATAATTTTTTCAGGAATTGAAATCAAGTCCACTAACCTGTAGTCTTTAGATTCTATCTTCTTCACTTAAAAAAATTTGGGAAATCATTTGCCTTTCTCTAATCCTGTGGTGCCTCTCCTGTACTCCTTGATCTATGAAAGATCACCCATAATGACTCAGTTATATCTGCCAGTTCTTTCAGTGCCCTGGAATATAATTCATCTGGGCCTGATGGCTTATAACTAGGTGCTTTCTTAAAACTTGGGGTGCCTGCTAGGCTCTTCATAGTTGACTTCTCCCCTATCATAAATTCTGAAATGAAGTAGTCGCTTCTTTTCAAGAAGGAATCTCTCTGGGTTTTTGTTTTTGTTTTTTTTTTTTATAGTAACTACTGGTTTTTTAATACCTTATTATTTTAGTAAAAAGTAATGTTTTATGGAAATAACATAATTAACTGGAATTCTATCCTATTTGATCATTTTCCATCAATCACACCTCATCTATACCTAAGAGAAATCTTATTTTTAGTTTCTATTCTAAGTACCTATTCATATAGTGACAACTAACCTAAAATGTAGCTATAGCACCTAGGATGAAATTGGCCTCTTTACCCTTTTTCATTTTGCAAAATCAGACTTTTGTGGTGATAGTAAATGTCACAGATCTGAGCTTTTTTGTACAACAAATTATGGGATCTTGGTTTTTCTAATGAATTTTTGATGGCTTCTGTGTCTAAATTAAACCTTTCTTTGCTCTATGAAACATTGTCTTAGAGAGGAAAATATGCCTCTGACTGTAATCTATACTGAGGATGCAAATTGTAGAGAAACATACCAAAAGATTTGCATTTAATCAAATCTAAAACAAGTCACATCAGAAGCATCAGTACCTTGTCAAAATGCCTTTTCCATTAGAATCAGTCTGAAATTTGCCAGCAATTTGAGGAGTCTTCACTGTCCACTAAAGGGTGCATGCAGGTTAATCAGGAATCTTGCATTGCTGCTAAAAAGGAAATTCATCAGCATCACCCAAAATGGAAAGTGGTAAGTGAAACTCAGTTATTAAAGAATAAACTTTTAAAATGTTTATGCCTTTTGGTCACTACATACATACAATATAGAATAAAGGAAAAGAGGAAATACTGTAATTTCTGACTGAGGCATCTGAAAAGAATAACCATTCAGACTACTTTGTAATATCACAATTTTAATAGCATTTTATTACTATTTTATTATTACTTATTACTATTTCTATTTGACTTTCTCTAAATACAGTCAAGTATTTATTTAGTTTGAAATAGAAATTTGCCAGAATGATGTTCTTGTGAAACATAAAATTGAACCTTTAATATTTTTCAAGAATAGTAAAATTTAAGTATAGAGGTTGAAAATCAACTGCTTAAAGTTTTCCCTTGAGTTTATTAAATATTAAACCATATTTATAAGAGAACCTATAAGATAACAGAATATCTTGTTTGAAATTAGAACTGAAAAAAAAAACAGTCCTGGACTAGTGCCCATTCTATGAACACAAATCATATGGATATGTTCATGTTTACCCAGTGGTAACTAGAATTCATATATTAAATTGTTCTAAGAATAAAACCTAATCCAATTTAACTGAAAGAATGATTGTTAATTGACTGATTTTCATTTCATAATAAGCACAGGTAAATATGGTACTTCTAATAGAAACTGTGGTTTATGTTCTTCTGTATTGCCCTAGTCCCTAACACAGTGCTAGACCCCTCAGTAGAAACTTAGTTCCTATTTGTGGATTCATTTATATGCCTCACATAACTTGAAAAAAAGGTATCAATAATGATGATTACTATGATGATAACAAAAACAATAGAAAGAAAAAAACTCATATATAATGCAGCTGGGTGGTATAGTGGATAGAGCCCTGAGCATAAATTCACGAAGACCTGAGTTCAAATCCAGCCTCAGGAATTTACTAGCTATGTAACCCCAAGCAAGTCACCTAAATGCTGTCTGCTTCAGTTTCCTTATCTGTAAAATGGGAATAATAATAGCACCTACATCTCAGGGTTGTTGTGAGGCTCAAATGAGATAGTATTTGTAAAGCACTTACTTAGCTCAGTGCCTGGCACATAGTGTGTGCTTAATAAATACTTATTCCCTTCTTTTCCCTTCCCTTCCCCTTAACAGTTTATAAAGTACTTTACGTATGTTATTTCATTGAGTGTTATAAAAAAAATCTGAGGCAGGTACTACAGATATTATTGGCCCTATTTTATATATAAGGAAGATGAAGCCCAGGGAGGCTAAGGCACTTGCCCATGGTCACACAGCTTGTAAATGTCAGAGGTGGATTTGAATTCACATCTTCCTGACTCCAAGTTAGCTTGAGTACCAGAGCCAGAGCCAGGTGTTGGACAGCAACACCGTCCCCTATTTGCAGTCTGAATTTAGGACCACACTCTCAGCCTGGTTCTAAAAGGCTGAGAATAGAAAACATGTAGGAAATGTTATAAGTTATGCACTGAGCAATCCATCAATCAAGGTTGTTCCATCTTGTTTTAAACAAAAGCAATTGAGCATAAGAAGATTAGATTCAGGAAGACATGATCTAAATATCTAATTGTATCTTTTTTCTTCTCAAGCAACTCAAAATACAAACATGTTCCTTTTTTAAGTGTTTAGAAGATTTCAGACTAGGACTGTACTGTTCTGAAGAAGCAACTTCTTGGAGGTATTATACACAGAGACAATACCAATAAAATTTAGTACAGAAATGAAAGCCATAATATGCAAGAGGCAATAGCTTTTGACAATGTCTTTTAAATAAGGAAGAAACAACTTAATTTTCACCAACTATATGAAAAGTCTATTGCTCTTAAAAATCTAAACTTGCTTTTTTGGTACTT